ATTTTAGCTAGAGGAGACTTTGAAACCATGATTATATTTGCAATATGAATTAATTACTTTCAGTTGTGATTTCATAAATCAGTAAATACAATTTACTTAACTGTTTGATTAAGAACTTATGTTTGTGTGTTGATTAAGAGGGCCCGCTTAGTTTGCATGCATGAATTTGATGCTAAAATATAAGGGAGTTTCACCTAATAATTATGATCTTATATTCATAAGTAGTGGAGGTTGCTAGTCACAATTGTGTTAAATTCTTGGCAGGAGTATCATGCTATTCATAGTTACGAATGCTTTGTCAATACTTATGATTTTCACAAAGCTTAATGATCTTTGATTGTATCTCTATTATGCAGTTCGTGTAGGGAGCTATTGAAGAATAATTTGGTTGTCGATGCGTATTCCATCCAATTCAATGACTTAAGGAAAATCTGAGGGTTAATTAGTGCTGTTCACGGTTAATCTGGGGTGTTGAGGTTCATGGTTTATTGGAAAAGCAACTGGAAATCAATTTGTATGCAAGTGTGTCATGAGTGGAAAAGGACCCTCTAGCTAGCTTATCACCTATATTTTTCCCTAATTTCGTCCAAGTTGTTTAGAGTGTTTAAATCTGTTTGTTTTTACTTTAATTTCGTCCAAATCAATCTCCCCTTTAATTAAGTGTGTTAGATTAGTTAGAAAAATGTTCAAATCTGTTCAATTTAGTGTTTTGAGTCTTAATAGTCTAAATTTTATCCAAATAACTTCTTAGAGTCTGTTTCGAGTCAATTTAACTTAGTTTGTGTGTTTTGAGTCTATTTAGCTTGTTTTGAGTTGTTAGAGTCTAGTTAGTGTTTTAAAGTTTAATTTGAGTAGATTAGCATCCTTCTAATCCCCGGCCTAGAACGATCTCTACTTACACATACTACAATCATAGGGTCTTAATTTGAGTGTTAGAATATTTCACATCAGTTAGTTAAATCTTTATCATGATTGGGAGAGTCTTAATCAAATCCCAACATGAGAAAACTAGGTCCTTTCTGGATGAATCCACTTCGGGTCCTAGAGATCAACCAATCCCAGCCGTTGGAAATAAATCCTACGGTTAATTCACTCTTTTACAAATAAAATCCTTATTGCCTGCGTAGCCAAATAGAAGTTGCCTCACTCAGAAATAAGAAGGGGAAAGAAAAAAACAAGATGGAGAAGGATTTAGGAAAAATTTCAATGGCAAAGAATCCAAATTATTGGAGATCAAAGACGGAGAGGAACCATTGGGTCTCACACATTGGAAATTCATTGATGCCTCCGACGCTGACTCAGACGAAAACCACCACTACTTTGATTCCAAACAGTAGTATAAAGACGAAGCAATCGGTTCGATATACACCAGAAAGGAAATTAATCGGTTGTGCAGCAAGATCTATCTGCACAACCATTGCTTGCTGCGCTCAAAAAAAAATTCAAAAATTTTCAGTTTTCTTAGCTTGAAAGCATTGGATGTGAGAAGGGGAGGAGAGAATTCAAGAATGTGAGAGTGAGAAAGAAGGGTTGGACTCTTGTTTTGAGTGAAAAAAAAAGGTTGAAATTTCATCTTTGACCGTAAGATCTATTTCCAATGGTTAGGATTATTTGATCCCAAGGGTCTAGTGTAAACTGATCTGTAGAGGATCCTTACCAATATGTTTTCTTATGAGCAGAGACCAAACTATATATAGATATTGAACCAAACTACTTCCCACCTATTATAGACAATAGGTGGTAATTGCGACACTATCTGAGCCTTATAGAAGTGGGGTTTTCTACCACTCCAACATGTTTACCCTTATCATGATTGGTAGAGTCCAAATCAAGTTCCAACAAGAGGTGGTCAGAGAGCTTAGATTGATAAAGGTTGCAGTACCCATGGGTAAGTCGGTTTTAGACCATCTCCAATCGAAAGGGTTTAGTATAGCCTCGTCTGGAATTATAGCCCAGTAAAAAAATTATTTTTAAATAAACAGTGTAGGACCATACTCATATATCATTTTAAATCGAAAGGGATAAATATAGTCCTCTTAATTATTTATTAGTTTTAAGTTTATACTTTAAATTTATTGGTTAATTTAGTTAAACTCTCGTTAGATGTTTTCAAATCTAGAGAATTTGAATCAATTATTATTATTAAGGAGATGGGTCCAAAAAAAGGCCTAAGATGGGGTTTATATTTGGGCAGTCTGATGCCTTTTTGGCCAAATAATGGCCTGATGGGCACTATAGAATTATAGCCCAACCATTGGTTAGAGATGAGCTTTTGGGCAAATCAAGCCATCTTTTAGACTCCATAGAATTATAGCCCTGCAAAAATTTATTTTTAAATGAACTGTGCCAGACTATATTTATATACCATCTCTAACTGAAAAAGCTCCTCAATAATTTATTATTTTTAATTTTGTTATTTAACTTATTAGTTAATTCAATTAAATTACCATATTAAAATAAGATTATCCAAACATATTTTGATTGCCATTTGTTGCTAAATGAATAAGCCTACAGATTTCTTATTTTTATATAATCTCAATTATCTTTCAGATAGGATTTCGAGTGACACATGTTGCTAAATGAGTAACTCTTCATATTTCTTATCTTTATGTAATCTTAATAATTTGTTGGATATGATTTTCAAGTGACATGTGTCAAAATGTAATTGGTTATGCAAATTTTAAATATGATTTTTATCTATGTGACACTTCTTATCTTCAGCTTCTAACGTTAATAAATTGGCTAGATATTGAGGTGGAATTCCCACACATTCATCTTTGCCCTCTCCAATATGTCTTGTCATTGTCTAAATTTGTCATTTCAATTCAAGTTTGCAACAAATTCCAACTTTTGATCCTCTTCGCATTTCAACTAGGGGTCCTTTATCTAATTCTGAATTGGAAGATAAATGGGCGGAGCGAAGATGAGAAGAGGAGGAGTCCAATGAAGAAGATGAGGCATGACACAACACAACATTTATGGCGGCAATGGGCGCAGCCATGGCATATGAGGAAACTCAACAACAACCTTAATGGGGTGGCCTATAAACCACGACAAAGAGAGATTGCGCATGAAACTCTGATGAACAACTACTTCAACTCCAACACGGTGTACCCAGAAGAGGATTTCAGAAGTCGCTTCTAGATAAGGCATCATGTCTTCGAGCGTTTGCTTCATGATGTCTAACATGTGAATCCGTACGTTCGACATAAATATGAAAGACTACAACAACTAATAATAATGATTATCATCCGCCATTGTAGGAGTATTGGATGTTGAAAACAACTCCCATCGGGCCATAGTTTCCCTCTTTTTTCTTGTAATATGCCTTCCCATTAGAGTCATAATTGTGATGTCCCTTTCCATGTTCCTTTCATCAATCTCTTCTTATATTTATTTTGCCTGTTCTTCATGTCTCCGCTTCTCTTCTTCTGTGACAATGACATTTTGCTTTGCAAATTGAAAAAATATTGAAAAATTTAAATTTAGATTATTAGAAGTAAGAGAGGGGTGTGTATAAAAAAAGTGTTTGAGGTGAATAGAATGTGAAAAATTGGAATAAAAGGTACAATAGTATGTAAGGGGAAAAAAATATGAGAAATTGTGTAGAAATGCTTTAGGTATTTATAAGAAAAAAAAATAGAGTTTAACTTTTATTTTATTTTATTTTATTTTTTGAAATTTCGTCTTGAAAAAAAAAATCCAATGGCTAGATGACGTCAATTGACGTTAGCTAGCCGTTGCTGCTAATGTCAGCGAGCTGGAGGTAGCAGATTGGGTCTCAACAAATGGGCTGATACGGGGGCTAGAAGTAGCCAACCTGATAGCCAAAAGGCCATCATTCGGGCCAGTGGGCTCCACTTGTTTTTGACCCAGCCCTCTATCGGAGTTGGGTTTTTTTAACAAATCAATCTAAAGAATGGCCCATGGCCTTTTAGTTTTCTCCAATTAAGAGGGCTAAAGGTCCAAAAGCCAACACATGACCTGATTTGCCTAAAAACTCATCTCCAATCGATGGCTAGACTATAATTCTATGGAGCCCACCAGACCATTATTTGGACAAAGGAGCATCGGGCTTGCCAAATGTAACCCCCTCTTAGCCCTTTTTTGGGAGGCCAACTCCTTATTTGCAATAATTGATTCGCATTCAACGGCTAAATTCGAAAACATCAAACATAGTTTAATTAAATTAACTAATAAATTTATAGATAAACTTAAAATCAATAAATTATTGAGGGGGCTATGTTTAGCCCCTTGGGTTAGAGATGACATATGACTATGGCGTAACACTATTAATTTAAAAATAATTTTTTTGTAGGGCTATAATTCTGGATGAGGCTATGTTTAAGCTTTTGAGTTGGAGATGGCCTTAAGTTTAGGTTTTCTTGACCAGGTTGTAAGCTTGTAGCATAAACTATAGAATGCATCCTGTCCGTCCATTTCAATCTAACGGTCATTATGTGTACGCAAAATGTGTATTCAGTGATGTGCATTAAAGAAACTTGTTTATTTCTTAGAGAGAATTGGGCCCATGCTAATTCAGAAGCTCAAAAACAAACAATTTGGTTCATGGGTAAGGCTTGGCCTATCAAATTTTCGGTAAGAAAATGGAACAAGGATGAATTCACCTGTCAGTCCTTCCACGGAGACTCTTCTGTCCGAACCAGATGGTACTTCTTCTTCTTCCTCTTCTTCTTCTTCATTTCGCTGGTCCTTGTTGGTTATGATTTGTAAGTCAAGTGTTCGGAAACCGAAAAGAAAAATGTAAGAAAAAGATAACCCCACCAGGTGCTTGCTGAAATTCCCCAGTGAACTTTAGACTTTGGGTGATAATGTTAAGAAGCTCCGAAATTAAGATAAATTATTCATCCGTTGAATACAATGTCCGGTATAATATGGATGCTGTACTGTATTTGTATACGGGTTAATCTGCGTATATATAAATGGGTGTATACCAAATGTTATTGAGCGCAGGAATGTGCCGCGGAGAGAAGCAGAGAGCTAGCCCAAGCGTCTACCTTTTACCGTGCAGTGTACTCAGAGGTGAGATGGACTGTCATATGATCCCTTTATCTTTTGCCACTTATTCAGAAATTTCCTTGAAGAAGTGTTTTATTTTACATCTTTTCTAATTTTTTGAAGTAATTTTGTTTTAAATGTTTGAAAATTCTAAAATAAGTTCTATATAAGGACCAAAAGTAAAATTAAAATGCTATTGTTGTTTGTGAGGTGGAAATGATTTTCGCTTGTCATTTTTCTCTCTCTGCACACCCTTGTTTATTACTATCCACTAATTCTACTTTTGGTTTAGTCAATCCAAATGCTAGAAATCACGAGGGGTGTGTAGGGGGAGAAAAAGGGTGTGCAGAAATCACTTTCCAATTCCAACCCCAAATTAAAGGACAAACTTCTCGTCTGGAGTAAAGGCCGGATTCAAAGAGGCCAGGCACACACCTTTTAGTTTTTAACTGCTTCAACTTTTGCTTCCTCTTGTAAAAGTTTGATTCAATTTCCCATTGAAACTAGGAAAACACCAGCACTATGCATGAGAACATGTTTGAAGTTCTGAATATTATTTCATGGGATGAACCTGTATTGTGATGTTCTAACACTACACTAGCACCTAATGTGAAAGCCACTCTGGAAGTTGTTAACTACAAGTGGGTTTGCATTATCTATAACATTTGGTTACGTAAGAACATTCACTGCTTCAATGATATTCATTAGCACAATGGGTTTGTTATTGTACTATTGTTTGGTACGGTCCTTAACTTGATGATCGTGTAAATGTAGATAGAGGAAGTTGGATGGGAGAATTTAGCGAGGTTTAGTGGAGATCTAACATCTCTCAGCTTTCGGATAATGTAAGATATTGCTGTTCACATTCATCATCCACTAACTTGCTTACTTAATTCGTTTTGCTTGTGCCAATGTGGAAAAGAATGGGTTGGGGCTTAATTTAATTTCTGCTTCATTAAAATGTATTATCTGCTTCAGATATGTTGAGAACTTGTTGACAGGGTCGTGATAGTTGGTTTCTAGTATTCCAGATTAAATTATAGTAATTTCAATATAAGAAGGAGGTGGAGATGTCTTGTTGTCAGAAATGATAAGTGTTGCCAATTGCCAAACATGTTTGTCTTACGTCCCAATAAATTGATAATGCTATAAACACATCATGAATCCTGTACTTATCAAATTTTCAAGATTATATATATTCCATGACAAGAAATCTGGTTATTGTGAAGAATAGTAAGAATGCATTATCTGAAGTCTTTCCAGGGCCATTGAGTTCAGAACTGTGTTAATCTTCATCCACAAGCTGTGCCTTCTTGATTGTGTCCAAGCCTTCGTCTTTTCAGGATATCAAGGAAATTCTAAAGTGTTTACCTGGGTGCTTGTCCCAAAGTTTATGATAATAAAAGTTCACTTTGCCATGAATCATACTTAAACTTCTAGTAATTTTTAAATATATACCTTTAAGTCTAATGCAGTACTGTTAGCCTAGTTTATATCAATTCCTCAGAAATTGCTTAAATATTATGTTGTTTAGGGAGATATCTTCATTGAGGCTTTATTTGCAATCAGTTGGACATGAATTTTCTCATTCATTTCTATCCATGTGCACATGTTAGTTCTGTCTTAACCATAGTGGACTTAATCTTTTCTAAATCTGATTAGCAGAGATGGCAAGGGCAGAGTGCATGTTATGGAAATTCAGTTGGATAAAACACATCCCAAATGTCCTCCTTCAATTTCAGCAGTATGTGTTCTTCGAAATTTTTATGGTTAACAGTTCCCCATTTGAGGGATTTATAAGGTTTAAGTTTCTTCTTCAGGATGTGCCATATTTGTTTAATTTAAAATGGTCATCAAACTCAAGATTGAAAGATGTGGTGCGGCAGTTTAAAAAGGTATTTGTTGCTTTCTTTGAAATTGCATACAAAATTTTGCATCAGATATTTTCTATTGTGGATTTCTTTTCTTGGGTTTGGATGTTTTCTAAAGCTATCGGCGATTGGTTCTTGAACCCAGCATCTGGAGAACCTTCAGGCTTTTTGGTCTACTTTGGATGATATCGACAGGTCGCTTTGGGTTGTTGATCCTAAACAAGCATCTCCTGCTGTGTCATATCGCCAAATTATTATAGGTGAGCCATCTTGTTCATAAGTATTGATAATTCTTCTCCCTTTTGTTTTTGGTGTCAAGTCTTTTGAGGTTTTTGTTTCTCAGGAAATGATTGCTGCATCACGTTGTTCATTAATTCCGTTGATCCTAGATCATTACCAGAGTGAGATTCCACCTTGAATCAGTTACTAGAGCTCCTACTTTCTATCTTTTGCTTATCATTCAGTCGTGAGTATCAAGTTGTGTTAGATGTCGTTTTATTGGTTCAGGTCCATTTGTGAATACGTTGAGAAACAGATGGCGAAGAAATAGCAAAAGATGGTAACCATTGCATCCCTTCCTTGTCCTTGAATCTGTATTCTGACTTTGATACTTGTGTTGAGGTAGAATATGAATTTTGTGGTGTTGTTACTTTAGAATCATCCTTTTTGACGAATTGTTGTGATTTACGGCTCCAAAATTAGGATGATGCAGAAATTAGGTTTATGTTACCTATTTCGTTTGGTGTTCTAGTTGAGTTTGGGTTTGATTTCTTGGTTGGATTCCTTGCTTGGTGGAGAGATTTTGTAATTACCTATTTGATTAACATTTGGATTTACTTCTAATTAGGATTAGGATTCTCAGTGTAACCTAAGTCCTATGCACTATAAATAGGACATTAGGGTTAGTTTATTTTGTGTGCCTCACCATTCATTTAGATAATTTTCTCTAATTAGGTTTTGGGTGGAGGTCAATGTTTGGAGTCATGAGTGGCAAATTCATGGCTCATTCGTTTGGCAATTTGGTGAGAATCAATTTGCAAGTTAGAGAACAATTTGGGAGAATCTTCTCTGTTTGTTTGAGTTCTCTACTTGTTTGGTTTAGGATTTGTAGTTTGTGGGATTTGGGTTGTGAGAGTTAAACACTCTTTTGTAATCTCCGTTTGTTTAGTGAAGTTCCTCGCTGTGCTTTGCCCATGGACGTCGGCTTTACGCCAAACCATGTTAAATCTCTTGTGTTCTTATTTTGAGATTGTTTGTTTTAGCTTTCGCCTACGATGTTGATATTTAGTACTTTGTTAGAATCCACTTCTGCTTGCGCATAAAAGTACAATGAACTTTTATTTCCCAATGAACTCTATGTCATCCTTAGGTTAAAGGTTGGGAGTTAAATATAACTTTGCTATAATGGGAATAAGTTTGTTATAATACTGTTGTCTTTCGATGTTACAAGAAGAGTACTGCTGGACCTGTGCTTACATATCATTTACTGAATGCTCTTTCAATTAATGTTCAAATTTATCATTTGAGAAGAAAATAACATAGACAGTTAATGTGTTTATTTATCATTTATCGACTGTAATTTTATAGGTTAAAAGACAAACCATTTCTGGAAAATCTTGAATGTCTTCTGGAGACTCAACTGCCAATGCCCCCTGATGTCAAGAAGAATGACCAGCAAGTTGAATGTGGAATTTGTTATGCTCAGAGTCTTCCAATTGGTAATTCTATATGTACATTCTTAGATTTTTACCAACGTTTTTCAGCCACTGACTTGGCAGTTTTAATGTAGATGACGAGCTCAGAGATAAGAATGGAACCGGGACTGACTGTACATGTGATAATACCAGCTGCAACAAGGCTTTCCACAGCATATGTCTTGTGGACTGGTTGCGTTCTATCACCACAACACGGCAGTATGTTTAAGTTTCTTGCATCATGATTTTCCTTTTCTGTATGCATGAGTGTTGCTTTGCTTGTCATTTTGCAATATTTGATAATAGAAACTCTCGGTTGACATGGCATTGCTCCTTCTTTCCCTTATGAAGCAAACTTATTGCATATGCAAACATTTTCACTAGTAGTTGTTAAAAGAAACACATGCACTTTCAAATTGAAATCCATTAAAACATTTTGTTACGAGGCACAAATTTTATATGGAAGCAGATAATAACTATCAGGACGATAGTAATTGGCTTAATCATCAGAACACTTTGACATTCAGAATTACTTCTGCTGTATCCGTCAGTCATACGAACTCATAACCTAAAGTGGCAAACGCAGGCTTCCTTTTATGGTTTGTTGATTTCTGATATCTGTCTACAATTGCATCACAGGTCATTTGATGTGTTATTTGGAAGCTGTCCATACTGTTCAGAACCAGTTGCGGTGAAAATCAACAGCTTCAAGAGGTAATCTACGTCTTCGAGTCCTCCTAATCAAAGATCTGTTAATGTTCTCATTTCCCTGGAGTGTTCTTCTGCGATGAAGTTCTTACTGGAAGAGCACATACTCTTGGATTTATGTTTATGGTAAATTTTTTTAGCAGTGTGGAAATGTGAGTGCTAAAACACGGAATGCTGTATTGTAACTTTGTAACCAACATCCGAATACGTTTGACTCACATCATTTCTAGTACTACCCTTATCCCACCAGAGCTCAACAATCAAATCATTTGTACTACCTATCAATTGGCATGTTCACTTGATAACTACGAGTTGTCAGTGATTTTTTTGGTTTTAGTCTTTAATTTTCGATTTTTGTTAAAGATAGAGAGGAAGTATATAGAATAAAAGAGAGATGAATGTCGGATGGAGGGAGGATGGTGGGAGGGATAATAGAGAAATGAAATCTACGAAGGAGAATGAATGTTTTCGGTTTCTAGCTTTTAATTTCGTCCGCCTCCCTTCCTCCACCCTTGTTCCCCCTCTCTTTATATTTCTTCTCCATCTCTAACAGTTCAGTTACCGTGTAAACTCAATACTTATAAAAACTAATTAGGGAAAGGAAGATTTTTATTGAAACCAAAAAATGAAAACTAAAAATTAAAAACAAAATGGAAGTACGACTTTATCTACCCTCGTCATAGATATTCACTTATGAATGGACTAGTACTTGTTGCCAATTGATTGGTGTAAATCGTCGGCTGTTTGTATATGGCTTGCGACTTCTAAGCACCTTTACACTAATACCGACAGTCGGCAATCCAACCACGTCTTTGCTTTTAGGTACTTTGGTTGGCACCATACTTGTGGACCTAAAATGCACAGTAACTCAATTTCAACGGCTCCCTTATTTTAATGCCCTCTTATCCATCCGGTCGGGATTAGACCCGCCTGTGTCACTATCAAAACACATCCAACTAACCATTTGATATAGTACCAGTCAGTCTTTTACGTGATTGAATTCGTTGAAGAGTTTCCTCTTAATGCTGCCCAACCTAAAACTCGGCGTTTTCGAAATTTTGCCCTAATTAAGCACTTTGAAGTTGTCAGTTTTCTACCTTCATATTGGATTTTAAGATTTGTTTTAGTTTATTGACAAAAAAGAGACCATTCAAATGGCTAGTTGGGAAATCATTTGTGAGTGTAAAGTGATTGAGCTACTTGTATATTCAGAAAGTAGAGAATATTTCTCATTTAGTCTACAAGCCTACGTCTACATGGATCATAAATCTGACGTCCCAATGGTACAATGCTCGTAACAGTAACATTTTTCAGGGTCATGCGGACATGCAACAAGTGATTGTGACTCTGCTGATTGTGATTAACCTGGGACCATCTTTGTGGTTGGTACTGATGGCTTATGCTAGCTAGGACCTAGGTGCATTACCGGATTACCCCATAGGCATTTCAGGGGACGTCAGATTAATACACTTACCACGTTAAAAACTTTACCGGACAGTAAGATATATATATATGAACTCCGATATTAGGCGACATTGGACGAGAACTGCCTTAGGATGGATATATAACCTCTTCGAAAGTTTTCGTGTTACATATGGTTCGATTCAGGTCGATCATTTGGACGAGTTGAAAACCTGTACACAAAGAAAATCGACCTCATTTTGTTTGTTTCCTTTTTTTTTCTTTGTTAGCTCGTGTCAGAATGGACCAATTTCTTCTTTCAACAGTACGAAACAATGCCAGATTTTTGCTTCAAAATTCAGAAACTGATAGAAAGGGTTCAAATCAAGCACATATCCTTTTCACTATAAAGCAGGAGCTTTTATTGGTACAATAATGCCAGCTGGATACACACATACAGCCACTAATAGATATCGACATTTGCTCCCTTCAAAAACAGACTTATCCTTCCATCCACAAATACACACTTAGATATACACAAGAATTTACCATTGTTCCCAATATACCCTTAACTATGCATGGCTCTCATTACACGTTAGTGTACAAGGGCACGTACGTTATAACAAGTACGAAATATGGATGTACGTACAAACAGTCATTGTTTTTGGCAAATGGAGGCAACTTAGAAGCCCGCGGTGCACTCCGGTGGGGCTACTGGGTACCGGGATCTATCGGTGCAGTAGTCGTAGATCACGTGGTTGATACGAACCCACCTGTATCTTCGATAATCGAGGGCGCTGAGGGCTTGGTAGGAAGCGCCTTCCCACCAATTATTGGTGCTTGAGGCACAAGAGGCTGGTCCTGGCACACTGCATCCCTCAATGTCAAAATCCTTGTAATATGAATAGAAAGGGGCTTTGCTCCAGTTTATCTTCTCAAGTCCTCCTCTAGTAGCCCAATCATCAGCTTCCCACAACGTCGAAAACACCCCCATAGGTTGGAGCTTTGGGTATGGGACCCCTCTGGCTTCATTGTTCTTGTACACCCTTATAGGCATATCATCCACATAGAAGCTGCACCACCAACAATATTGACATTCACACCGAATTATTATTACTGACAAATTTAAAATTAGTGAGAAAACAAATATTGTATTTTTATTGTAATGAAATATCTTCTCAGATAGTCTATCATGCATGTTGTCAGACTGTGAATTAGAATCAGTCATTTATCTGACCTACTTGTTATAAATAGTGTGACAACACAACATGTCTGATGTGCACATGTTTTTATTGAACATATTAGCTTACACAATATGGTGATGATTCCAGAGGATTGTGTAAGTGTGGAAATCAGCAGCAGGGTCAAACCAGAGGTTAACCCTTTGCTCCCTATCACCCTTCCCATGAGCATAGATATTGGTTTGGACTGTATAAGGCTGTCCAGTCCGGTTCCCCAAGAATTCAAAATCTAGCTCGTCACGAACTGTATCGGTGTCAGAGTTCATCTGCCAAAACAATCAAAACAAAACAGATTAATTCATATAAATCAAGAAACCCAGAAACTTATTTAGGGTTTTGAAGCCGTGAAGTTACATAAAAAGCAGTGACAGTTCCAGCAGAGTCTCCAGGGATGAGCTTGATCTTCATGCTCACACGCCCAAACAAATACTTCTGTTTGGAGGCAAACCCACATCCTGAAAAAGTAGTGTATCAAAATTTGCCAGCGCTCATTACTTTGTCATATTTTGTGAAGACAAACAATAATCCGATCAATTCGAACTTTTTTCTTTTTCATAAAAAAAAAAAAAAAAAAAGAAACTATATTATTACTAAAATATATAGCAAAGTTGACCCCACGATCGGATACCGGAATTTTGGTCAAGAACGAGTTGGATGGCCCTTCCTCCATCGATTTGCCTGATATGAGAATCAGACCATGTGACTCGGAAGTCCTGAAGAAAAGTGGCTGGTCGTCCAAAAGATGAAAGAGAAAATAAAGAAAGAAAACAAAAGCAGAAAGAAGCAACGACAACCCTCTTACTCCAACTAGGGTAAAGGGCCATGATTTTGTCACACACACAAATATATATGAGAGATTATATATGGAATTAATATTTTGAATGTGATTTAGATTATGAGAAGATGTGGGCTATTTATACATTTAGTTTGGGTAGGGGGAAGATTATTTGTGATTAAGACTGTGGCTTCCCAATGGAATGTTCCATCACAACTTTGCTTTCCATCCAGCTAATGGCAAGCTTTCAGCTAGGTCCTACCCAACAGTTTGTATTCTTCTTTCGAGATTCTTCTTTCTTAGTTAATCATCCAGGACAAGAGATTTTTCAGTGTGACTGGAACACGGAGTGGTACACCACGTGTCACTATATTAATGGTGGAATATATGTGCTATAAGATTAATAACTCAAAACATACAATTTCCCACCACTTATATAAAAACACGTGGTGTACCATCTAGATTTCCGTCACAATGAAAAATTTCTCTGCCATAATGCCATAATCAACTACCATAATTTTCTTCATCTTAATTTTCTACTATGCTAGTTGCACTTGGCCTAACTTTTGCGTGGGGTGAAATACACACACGCGCGCGCTCGCACACATATCGTCGCAATTGCACCCTATTGTTGTATTTGTTATAAAGAATAATGTTAAAGTAGAGTATTCAACTCAAAATTAATTAGTTATTTTGATGAGTAGCATGAATCCCAATTCACGATTCACATGTGCCTTAACAAGTCTTAGGGCATGTTTTGTGGCGCTTCAATATGAAGCACTTCTGCACATTAAATTTTTTGCCATAAGCACATTGGAATTCCTAACCATCTAATTGTGAAGATTTTTAGCTCTTGTTGTCAAACATCGTTAAAATCACTTTTTAACATATGAAAGCGCTTTTAGTTCTTCCCAAATTAAACAAGCTGTTATATGTGAATGAATCATCATATATCATGTTAAGGTTAACGACTTCGCTTAATTTTATTTTCTCAGTAATGAAATTAGACAAGAAATATGGAAAATGTTTTGTTATTGATGTATAAAAAATGTCATTTTGTACTTTTACTTTACAAATTTTCTCTTGTGTTTTTACAGATTTGGAATGCATGGTGGCTTTTTCGAAGTGCCAATAACAACTTTACGAAGAAAGTACACATAATAACATCGAAATCACTAGGTGGTTTGTATGGGGATTGACAAGTGAAACTGCAATTTGATTATGCAAAAAGTGTTATTTATGTGTGTTTCCCAATTGATAATAAAAACAATTGAAGCTTATAAGTATTATATTTGTGTGGATGCAAATGCTGCCGAACTCATTCAATTGTATCTATCCATGACATTCTAAAGGGATGGTAAGGTTGGTGATTACGATTTTACAAAAGTGGAATATTGCTATGAATTACTTACACCTAACTCCATGCCCTAAAGCCATCACTGTTGTGTATATACCACAGTAGTAACCTCTCTCTATCTCCTCGGTCAACTATTGCCCTGAAGTTAAAGACATCCAATCATAAATTCGTCCTATATCAATGTTACAGCCAATACAAATTGATTGATATGGAATGCTGACTGGCCAGTAGTTCTACTTATGGACCCAATGATGTGGTCTCATTTTACGAGCTGGGATTTTGTTATTAAACACTATTTTAAGGTTATGTTTATTTTCATGGTGTTTTTCCTAATAAGATATTGTAATTATATGATTAGAGGCAATTATTTGTCATGTACATTACAAACCTCAAAAGTTTGTCGTCATATAATTGTGATGATTTTTATCAAGTGATCAATAACTTTTTAACATTCATACCAAGAGTTTGAATCTTTTATCACTTTATCAGTTTATCTTATATAACAAATTGACACTTTCATCCTTAATGTTA